CTGTATACAAAGCATTTTGTTTCACCCTCGGCCGGCTGCCTCATGGGGTTTTAAAGGGAGAGGATTAATTTTTGGTGGGGGAGAGAAGAAAGATGCTGCAAAACAAAACAAAACAAAAAAACAACCCAATAATACGCGAGAGAACAGCGTATGCACAGAGCCTGGGGAATAGAAGCATTCCTTAGGTGCCCAATTACGGTTATGAAATGGGATATTAGCTCCAAATGCTTTAAGAATAGACATTTCTTCCTATCCATCAAGTACTTCTCTCAGAGTCACTGAAAAATAAGCTAATACCTCATGATAAGCCTGCCTCTTTGCAGAGCGTAATCCTTCTTCTCGGCCCAAAAAGGCACCGTGTAATAAGGATGGCAAATAAATTTCGTTTCACACGGTGACTCCCACCGGCCGGCGGTGCGCACCCAACGTGAAGCGCTGAGGGTTCCAAGGCAGCGCGGCTGGTGGGGCGGGGGCGGGGTCCATTATCCACGTCTGCCACATGCAGGGCCCACGTGGCTGCAGCCTCTCACTGGCCATCGTGACGGGGAGCGTCACCGAGGACCGAGGACAACGCATGAGTAGGAAACTGGATAATGTATAAGCCGGGCTAGAGTTGTGAACCTGATTTTCCATAAGTCTATTTCACCGGATAATTTTTCAAGGACGTTTCAAAAACCACATTTCAAAAGACAAAGTCCTGGTGGGGCCGTTCCTGTGGTCGAATGGAGCATGAAAGTGGCTTTAAGTAATGCCCTCTTGCTTCTTCCCCGACTGGTGTCTGCAGCCAGGGGCAGCCCGTCTGTCCACCCCTGGGAAGGAGCTGAACGAGTGTCCCTCGGCCGGGACAGCCGAATGGAAGACGCCCTGACACTCGTCAGCCACAGCGTGTGTCCTCAAACCCACGTCTCTGGTGTCACGTGTGCCTGGAGCACATTTTGCTTTTTGTCTGAGCCTGTGGTTTCCAACAGTGGGCAACCTCCCTCCCCAGGGACATGTGGCAAAATCTGCAGACATCTTTGGCTGTCCGGGGCAGGTAAAGAAGGAGCTACCGGCGTCTAGTAAGTAAAGACCAGGGCTGCCGCTACACATCCCACGCTGCGCGGGACAGCCCTGCCCGACAGGTAATTGTCCAGCAGCGTGCCAGAGCTGAGATCAGACCTAGAGTCAGCCAACGATGCGGCCGCTGCTGTTCCAGGCACACCGCGGCAGCGGCTGAGCTGGGGACCCCCAGTGTGAATCCAGACCGGACCGCCCACCATGCTGCCCTAAGTAAAGCCGGCGTGTTCTCTCAGCCCCGACAGCCCTGTCTCTGAAAGAGGGATGGGAGCAGGGTCTCCGGCACGGGGTTGTTTTGAGGACAAAGATGTGAAAATGTAATTAAAGCTCTTCACAAAGTGCTTGGCAGATGGGAAGTGTTAGCAAAAAAAAGCAGCAATGACAAGAACTGCAAAACATTCTGCTGTGGTTTGAATGCTGGTTGGTGTCCCCTGCAAAATTCACGCGGCAACCGAGTCCCCAAAGCCACTGTGTCAAGAGGACGCAGCAACAAGGCGCCACCTGGGGAGCACAGGAACAGCCCTGAGCAGGCGCTGCATTTGCCGGCACCTTGACCTTGGACTTGCCGGCCTCCTCAACTGTGAGAAATAAATTGCTGTTCTTCATACATTACCCAGTCTGAGGCGTTTTGTCCTAGCGGCACAACCTAAGACACACTCCAACAGGTAACAGAGACCGCACGCCTGGCATCGTGGCGGCAAAATCATAACCGGCCCCGTGACCACCTGCATCTGGTTCTAAAACCCACTCACCCGACAGGATGCAAGAGCAGGGGTCAGCCAGAGCATCGGGTTTGGCAGTGCCTGTGAAAATTAAAGGGAGGTATCCTTCCACAACTTCACTTGTGCGCATTTATCCTGCAGACAAACTCACACGGGTGGGAAGTGGTGACAGGCCAGGATGTTCCATGTAACATGGAAATAACATGAATATCCACAAATGGGAGACCAATTAAATAACAGAGTAAATGTGTAAAGTAGAACACTAACATATCTATATCCACCACCAACAAATATATACATATGCAAATGTGTGTATAGCGTGTGTATATATATACACACACACACATATATTATATATACACATATACACACGTACTGATATGGAATGAGCCCTAAAACATATCCTTACATTAAAAAAAAAAAAAAGAGCCAAGAGTAGAACTATGTATCTCATATGTTATCTTGTGGTTTTGGTGTAAATGTCTGTGTAAATATTTGTACATGTATATAACATATCTATGAAAGAATGCACAGGGCAGGCGGAAGTGAGATTTATTCTCCTCTGCATACTCTTGCCTTTTTTGAGTATTATGCCATTTAATCTAAACTATTAAATAAAGTAAAGCATCAAATATGCCCTGTTACCTACATCATTCCCTGCCCTACTTCTTTTGCACTTGACTTTTGTAAATGCTAGCAAATTATCCCTTGCTTAAAATGAATAATTTTGAATATTTTGGTCAAATCATCTTCTGGAGGGATGCCCTCATTTTTAATCCAAACAATGTCTGCAGAGGAGCTGACTGTTAGCACGACGAGGAAAACTGCAAGAGGTCCTCATCGTTCTCATCGCAGGCAACAAATCACCAGGCTGTGCCCGGCCCTCCCCCCGCCTTCCTTCGCAAACTCCAGCTTTCAAATAAAGAGCTGTATCAATTAGCAGAGCCAGTCGGTTCTCAGAAGCTGAGCTGGATCCTGGGCTATTATTAGTTTCTGAACAATGGCTGGGAGAGAAGGGAGAAAAAAAGAAAAACTTGCACTAGGCTTTGAATTTTGAAACCACTATTCTAGGATGAGACAAAATTATGTTACACATTCAGATGATATAGAGGGTTCACCTTGTGAAATAAATTCTGTTGGTCTCCCCCAAAACCTAAATCATGTTGCTTCATGGTCTCTTAACTTAAGAGTATAAGAGAATATACTTGTGTCTCTTTTCCAACTGAAAATAATTAATGTTGCTTTAAAAAAGTTAAAGGGGAAAAAAAAAATCAAATGGCAAGGGCACACTGACATCTGCTGGCATTTCATAAACTTTTTTCAAGACAAGCATTTGTTCCAGACACTGGTCTCTATTTATTCTCGTGCACCAAGGCACATCCGTGGCCGAACAAATTATTATTCCCCCAAAGGCTCCCCCAAATTATGTAAAGAGAAGATCATCAAGGAATGAAAGCTCGAGAGCCTCTCTCTGCCTCGAGTGGACCCCTCCTTTCAGTAAAGCAATCTGGAGCTCTACAGAATGAATAATTTTATCCTTTTTTTTTAATAAGTAGAAGAGTTAGGTTAGAGGGAAATTAAATTCTGAGAGCTGTTTCCCCTGGATTTATTTCTGTAAATGGCAATTCCACCAATCCCTGTCTCAAAATGGTGATGGAATGAGGGACACCGAGAGCCGGCACCTACCTGTGCAGGAACGAGGAGAATAAAACTGAGTGCTCCTTTTCCCAGACCAGCAGGAAAGGGGGAATCTCAGAACTAAGGAAGCAGCAGGCCTGAGACATGGATTAGAAAGTGAGGACACTCTCAGTATGAACTTCAGAAAGGGACGAAAGGCTCCGTATTTTGCTTAAAAAAAAATTCTTTAAAACAGGCTCTAAAATGCTCAAGTCCCAAAAGCATTTCCCAGATTTTAAAAAATCTGATAGTGACATGAAACCAATGAGGGAACAGTTAAGGGTGGACTAAGGTGAACAGAAGAGCTTCATTTTCTCATGAGACAGCATGGACGCTGTGAAGGCGTGTGCATAACGACGGGCCCGGCTCTGCCTCCTGTGAGCCGTGGCTCACTGAACGCGCCATGTGCACACAAAGCACGAGGCCAGCAGGCAGAACGAGGGAGACAGAGCCGCACTCTGCACACGCAATGAGCAGAACGCCCAGCGCCACTGCTCCTCGGAGCAAGGGGCGCCCTAGCGCCCCTTCCTCCTGCAGCACACAGTCACACGCGGGCACACACACAGGCACACACGCGGCACACACACCACACGACACACCGGCACTGTGCAGTGCCACCACGTCCACAGATGCCACCCACACAGGCACACACACAGCAGTACACGCAGGCAGTCACTGAAAGTGCACCACTCCACACATGCACACACACAGGCACACACACAGGCACACAGGCACATGAGTGCACATGTCCACACATGCACACACACACGCACACACACAGGCACGTGAGTGCACACGTCCACACATGCACACACACAGGCACACAAAGGCACATAAGTGTACACGTCCACACACACACACAGGCATACACGCAGGCACACAGGCACATGAGTGCACATGTCCACACATGCACACACACAGGCACACACACAGGCACACAGGCGCATGAGTGCACATGTCCACACATGCGCACACACATGCACACAAAGGCACATGAGCGTACACGTACACACACACACACAGGCACACACACGCACACACACACACACATGCAGGCACACACACATGCACACAAAGGCACATGAGTGTACACGTACACACAGGCACACACAGGTACACACATGCACACTCACAGGCACACACATGCACACACACAGGTACACGTGCACACACACGCACACACACACACATGCACACACACAGGCACACACACATGCACACACATCGCCTTCCCCCCAGGGTGCTCCCTGCAGCTTACTCTTGCACCCGTCTTCAGGACGTAGCGAGAAATGGCAGGAGTCGAGATCTTGCCCGTCTCAGAGAGGAAGGGCCCCAGGCACGCTGGCTGCCTCGCTGCTGCAGGATGTCTCCTTCCTCCCCTGGGCTCTGAACACACCGCTGCCTCTGCCGACCAGTCCTTCCCTCTCCCCATGTGTACAAGCTCGGTCCTTCACATTCTTCAAGCTCCAGCTTAACTGTAACCTGGGAGACCCTTCCCTGACCCTCCTGCCTAATAGGGTCACCCACCCTTTTACTACGTGAATGCCCCATTTTGTTCCCATCTTAATACCTATGACTGGGAAATTCTATTGTCCTTCTCTCTGCTGTCATAATTTGTGCCGGGCTCTCCCCTATAGCACAAGCTTCCCGAAGCAGAGAAGCCGTCACTCTTGGTGGACAACATCCCAGTGCGACTGCACCGGAGACTCACACAGTGCCTGGCCCAAAGCGCGGGCTGGAATGCGTTTGCTGAATGCATGGAAAAGGCAATGAAGGACCCAGTAAAAGTGAGTCTATATAGCATAGGTAGTGCTCCAGGAGAAAAAAAAAATATAGGGAAAAACAAGAAAAAGTGTCCATGAACACTGCCGGGACTCAAAATCATATTCCTCTTACTCCAGGTCTAGTATAGCCCAAGACACTAAGCACTGATCTATATTGTCTTATTTTCCATGGTCTCTGGTATTTTAAAGGGCCGAAGTTTATTTGTGCCTTCCAATTTCTACCTATCTTTTATACCTTGATATTACTCACATATTTAATATTAAATATTACAAAGGTAGGGAAATTTTATTTTTTGTAGAGACAAGGTCTCGCTATGTTGCCCAGGCTGGTCTCAAACTCCTGGGTTCAAGAGATCCTCCCCACTTAGGCCTCCCAAAGTGCTTGGGTCACAAGTGTGAGCCATTGTACCTGGCCAAGATTTTCTAAAAGGAAACACAGTAACATAAATCCCAATAAGAAGTGAAAAGTAAACTGAGGGTAAGGAAGTAAAATAGAGTCGAAAGTGAGGTCAATATGCAAAGTCCATGCTATCAAATCTTACTTGCTGCCATGCCTGGACTGAGAAATCAGCTCTGAGCTTCCTGGCAGTCTTTGTGAAAAGGAAACACGAATAGTTATTTCATTTGGAGTGTCTGGCACATACACACCAATTACTGCCTCCAAAAGGACAAGCCCTTTCTGATCCTGAAACCTGAGATAACAGCAACAGCCCACAGAGCCCCCAAAATATCATCACAGCCAATAAGAGCTGGGAGTGCAAACTCTGCACAGTGTGTGTGTGCTTTTTTAGGCCCCCATATTTGTTTCCAATAACATCACATTTCTTTTTACTTCAAGTGTTAGGCCCCACTGTAACAACTCTTAAACTTTCATCTAAATGGTCTATTCTTTTTCTCTGTGCACATAAATAAAAACAAAATCTATTTTTTTAAAATCTGGGGTCAAATGGCTCTCGTACAGTATTTCTCATGATAAGCAGAGAGCACCAAACCACAATTCAATAGAACTAAGTTTACGGGGGGAGGTGGATGGTTCTTCAATCTCATTAAGTATTTTCAAAGGTTATTTTAAATTCACACAATCAAAACCTATACAAGTGTCATGTGTGAAATGAACAAAATTCACTAGGAAACAAAAATATCTTTCTAAGACCCACAGGCACGCTAACTACTAAACCTTTTGTATCAAAGACTCTTGGAACCAGCAGCCCTTTTCTGAACATCGCAAGATAAATAAACAGGCAAGGAGTGACTGCTCTGAGAAGTCCCTGTGATTGCTGCTTGATCCAACTCACTCTGGAGCACCAGTCCTTGGACAGGGAGGCAGAATCATCTGCCTTGGGAGAGATGAGGAAATGGAGGCTCAGAGAGGGGCAGAAACTTGCCCAAGGTCACACAGCTGGAAAATCGAAGAATCTGGACCCGCAAGGGAGGTGTGTCGGGTTCCAGCCTTTGTCCTCCCGCACCTTGGCTCTCGGGGAGTTTGGTCTTCTCAAAGCTTTCCTGAGTCCAAAATAACTCCAGTAGCTTAGGCTAGTGTGCATCACCTTAAACGCAAGCTCTTCTCATTTAACCAGCATCCTACCTGCTGCCGTTCAGACTGACCGACCTCCCAAAATCAGAAACAAGAAACCCTCCCATGAAGACCTCATGTTTTTAAAGAGAGGTAAACCCATGCTCTCTATTCTTCCCCAGGCAACTCCTGAAATTTCCCTAGTCGTCCATCCCTTTTGGAGTTCCTGCACGCGCACTCTCCTCCATCCCATCGGCCTCTGCAGTCAGCAGCAGCCTGAGCTGGACCCCGCTTTCCAAGCATGCTGAAGGGGAAGACGCGTTCTTCACGGCGCCGCGACAGTGAGCCAGGCCACGCACGTGAGCGGGAGGCCCACTCCGGGACACAGGCAGTGAGCCCAGAATCCAGACAGGGGGCTGGTCCCGAGGGGAGCGAACCCCCAGCTCGCAGCCCTGGGGATCTGGCCAGGGCTCCCGGTGCTGACTCAGCCCTCTCAGTACCCTGCTCCGTCACTTTTCATAACGAGTCTAATAAATTAGTGTTTCTCTCTGCCAATCAATCAGGGCCCATGCATATGGCTGCTGTCAGCAGCCCTCTGCAGGCGGAACTGCACACGGGCACTCGGGTTTGTCAGCTCTCTGCCCGCACATTCGCAGCGAGGCTAGGCTCTCCGCGTTCACTCTCAATTTATCACCTCGCTTGGAGTCAAGAGGAAAACGTAGGAATCACGTTCTGGAGCCAATTCTGCTGCCTAGAGGGATTGTGAGATTCCAGCCACAAACAACGATAATAATGATGTCATTATTATAAAATGATAATATTAATGATGATCATCAGCGCGAGCACCACGACTCCCGCACACACGGAACACACACTATATACCAGGCGCTTTGCTAAAATGATTTGCAAGGCTGATTAATCATCCGGCCGACCCTAGAACATAGGAATATTATCCCCATTGATGGGGCAGACTGAGGTGCAGAGAGGTTGAGGAAAGCCAAAGGTTATGGAGCCAGAATCTGAGGGACCTGGGGTCTCAAGCCAGACAGTCTCATTCTGGAATTTCAACCACCGCACTACACTGCCTCCTGCCTTCTCACAGCCACTCTGCTACTTCCTCTTGTAGCCAACAGATCCTCTCAGCACAGGGCAGGGGAGGGAAGCAAAAGGACTCTGGAAGCAACTAGTCGAGCCTGCACTCTGCCTTTGCCACTTAATCACCGGGCCTCTGTTCTCCCATCTGTAAAATGGGCATAATAAAGGGTTTGCAACGAAGAGTTAAGAGAGCACAGTTGGAGATCCCAAAACGTGGTGGCTATGAGGGCCCTGCTGATGACACTGAGAAGACGATTTTGAAAACCTTAAGTCCACACCCTCATCTCTGATAATCCGTATTCTAAAATGCACAGAAAAGAGACATCGGCATCTCGAGGAAAGACAGAACTAGCAATGAGCAATGTGACTGCACAAGGGCCTCTATGATGCCGGCAAAGGTCTGATTTTGTTCTCAGAAGACGTGGAGAGGGAAGCGGACTCAGGTGACAGTGACCAGACGGCGAGCTTGCACGCCGTACGCTGAGCAGTTCCCAGAGCAGCCCCAGCCTTGAGTGCACCATGCCCAAGGACTGCCTGCAGCCAGACAGGAGGCCCGAGTACCCCCTTCAAAATTATACTCAGAGCATGAGCCTAGAGACGGGGGCCAGAGATGCTCTGGGCAGCCCAGGACCTCAGGGCTCCAGGCAGAGAAACAGCAAAACAAGGGCCAGATTGCAGTAATGATAAAGTGATGATGAAGTAAAAGAAACAAGGGCCTTGTTTTCCTTGTGTGGCTCTCATGGGCTCAGCACCACATGTCACAGCAACTCAAGTTCAGCAGCAAGACCCCCCCTCACCACTGCACACGTGGCCTCCCACCTCCCGCGAAGGCAACAAAAGAGCCCGGGTGTGCAGTGATTAGCACCGTGGGCTGTGTGCTCAGACTGCCAGGGTCAACCTCCTGGGTGTGTCCCAGACCTGCCATGATATCCTTGGATAAACGGCTTAATGCCACATGCACTTCACTATCTATCTGCAAAATGGGTATTTGATGAAAGAAAGAACCTGAAGGCCTGCCGGAAACAGCAGACGGGATCACTTGCTATTTCCACTTGGAGCCCGTGCTCTGTGCCGCGCACTGCGCTACATGCTAGCCATCCAGTGACATCCGAGCAGGTGTGTGCATGATCCGCCTGGAGTTCACCGTCCAGTGGAGTGAGATCCACCTGGAGTTCACCGTCCAGTGGAGTGAGAGAAAAAGGATCAAACCGACAGTCACTGCAGTAATGGTAAATTGTTCTTGGGATGACGGTAGAGAAGGAAAATCCACACAGGGAAGCAGGGAGGGTTTCCCTGAGCCTGGGACTCTGGAGCTGCAACCTGGAGGATGAGTGGGGCATGAGCAAAGTGAACGGGTGGGAGGTGGGGGAGATGGGCAGGTGCCAGAACAACTCAGCACAGTCCACAGCCACGTAGGTAGAGTGCCGGGCACAGCTTGTGCTGTGTAGGAAGTGTCCAAGCCATGTGAACTCATTAGCATCATCCTGGCATATAGAAAGGGCAGTAACGGAGTTCCAGGATTGCAGATAAAGAGACAGACTCCAGGGACGACGTGGGAGGAAAGTCGGATTGTCCAGATGTCCAAACTGCCCATCAAACTGTATCTCCACCTTCCAAGGCCAGGGGAGCTTCTGAAGACAGACTCAGAGACCTCCCTAGGCAAGCCACCTCTCTCTCATGTCAGTATCTGCCCACGCCTGGCCCACACCTACCAAGGCCACCTACCGTGGCCACACTTCGAAAGGGAGCCTACCTGGGCTGACGATCAACGAGGAGGATCTATGCACAGCTGCTCTCAGGGACTCCCAGGAGAGGTGGCAGGCAAGACATGGAAAGGATGTGGGAGGGGGTGCTGCCTCTTTGAAGGGAAGCCCCAGAGAACGCACAGCTAAGTAGGCTAATGCATCCAGATGCCTCCTCCCGGGGTCTTCCTCCCACACGCCACGAGCTTTACTGAGAAACAAGCCTCGTTTTCCCTATAAACTAATCTCTCTTCCTGAACGGAAAATTTTGGTCTAAGCCCACAAAGGAGGGGGGTGAGATATAAAGTTTGATCTTTTAGATGTTATGAGGCTTACCTCTGCAGATGCCACTAAGTCCTCAGACCAAATCTGGTTGCGCAGATGACTTGGAACTTTGAGGAAAGAGCTGGCTGGCCAGGAAGGGGTGCTTGTTGATCTATTCGTCTCGAAAACACCTAACAATTTTCCCATAATGATGAAGCCATAAACATAGCATGGCATTTCTCTGTATAAAACCTTCCAATGGCTGCCCCTTAGAATAAAATCCAACTCCTACTTGGGCCTCAAGGGGCTACAGGACTTCATCTGTATAATTCTATCACTGCAACCACCTCCAGGCCTTTGCACGTGTTTCCCCTGTCTCTGAACCGCGCTTCATGCAGAAGACGGCCCTAGGAGGCGGCTCCATCAGGACAGGTGTCCGCGTGGGTGATACGTGCATGTCAGCTACTTCTTTTCACGTGGGTCTCGGATCACATCTCTCCTCCTTGAAACCGCCCCCCCACCCGCCAAGTCGCTATCATATCGCCATGTTGTCATTTTTGTAACCTTTGCCATTATCCTTCTAGAAATATATTTCCATATCTTGCCTGTGCCTGGGTTCCTCTGTGACAATAGGGACTCTGAGAAGGCAAAGTTCTCCTCTGCCTTGTTCATCTAGCACGCGTCTAACGTGCCGTGTGTTCAGAATAAATGTTTATTGAGCTAGCCACCCCTTCCCCTAAGATGACAGCCCCTTCTGGAGGAGCCGGCCGCAGTCACCCACGTCTGTGTCTAGTGACCGCGGACAAGCCAGTGCAGTGAACAGTGGTGCTCGGAGTGACTACAAAGCGTAAGGACAGTTGTCTCTGCTTACAACTCCACCTGTCATTTTTCCTAACAACCCCCAGCCTTGCAACCCATCCCAGCTGTATTCACTGTTGACATCATCTGAAAGCACTGGGTCCCCTCATTCTGAAGTTCTATCGCTGATTGATTCTTTAATTAAAGTTTTAATATTTATACTTGTGCCTTGAGGCAATATTTTAAATAATGGAGGTAGACATTGGGAAGAGCCTCATGGCTTCTTTAAAAACATCGTCTCTGTGTTTGAGGTCTTTGGTACAACTATGTGGGCGAATGTGGAGGTGACAGATTAAGGGATGATTGTAGAAGTGTCAGCCAGTATTAATCTGTGTCCTGTGCTTGCGGGGGAACTCCCATGCTGGGTGGCAAAGGCAGGACGAGCTGCCCTGTGTCCTTCAGAGAAAATGTGCTCAGATTTCAATAGTCTCCTTACACGCCACTGGGAAACTGCCAGGTCCCCAAAGTATTTTCTGTGTCAGATACGATTTCCCTCTTGGAACATGTTCATTATTCCATACATCGGCTTAAAGGATGCAAACAAAATGGTCTACTTTTTGGAAAGGTGAAATGTCAGGCATATATATACAGAGCGGACCCAATTTTCTGAATATAAAAAAAATATATATCTGAAAGGACTCTGATAAAATATTATGGCTTGGTATGGCTTGAGCTAAAAGGACTAAATCTATTTTTTTTAAGTCATCAGAGACATGCGGATGTCTAGAAGACCTGTGCTCAGACCTTGCAAAAGGAGATAAAAAAAATAGCATCAATTACCATGAAGAGAAAATAGGGCGGAATGGGTCATCCAGGAGGAGAAACCTGCTCAGACCCAAGTTCCAGCTTGGTTTCCAAGCGGAAAGCTCTGGGGCCACGGGGCGATGCCACAGACTGTGTTCTGAGAGGAGCACGGTTTACTAAGATGTTGCTGAAACTTCATACCTGTTGTGGAGCAAATCCCGACTCCCCCTCCGCCCAGGCCCTGGCCACCACCCTCTGCTCTCCGCTTTGATGAGTCGGACTACTGTAGAGACCTCCTATACGTGGGGTTCCTAACAGTAAAGATAAATAAGTTTTGGGGATCTACTGCACGACATTGTGCTCACAGTCAGCAATCCTAAATGATATAAAATCTACAAAGAGGGTAGATCTCATGTTGTGTTCTTACCACAACAAAATAAAAAGTAAAATTTAAAACACTTGATCGGAGTGGTTATTCCTACATTCAGAGGGGGGTTTCATAAATGGACATTGAGTGACCACAGTTGTGTTTATACCGCTACAAAAAAAAATCACAAAAGTTTATATTTAAACACAGTCATTATAATGGGTGAATCATAGGATAAATGATAAAGCCACTTCTAATATTCTTTAATTCCTGTATTTTCAAAATAGTCTGTGTATTAAAGGAGTGTTTTCCAATAGAAAAAAAAATATTACTAAGGCCATGTTTTCAGTCTGGGAGGCTGAGGAGTTGAAGGCCTGCTAGGCTCTTCTTCCGGTCAGAGGAAACGCACAATTGCTGCAAAAACTTAATTTCAGAGCATAGCACTTGTCGGGACAGCAAGTCAAATGTCACCAATCTACGTCCCAGCCAGTGGGCAGCCTGTCCCTGATCCTCCTTGGAACTTGGGAGAGGTGAGGCCAGCTTCAGCGTAGAGGGCTTGAGGCTCCTGTTGTTTACTTAAAAGGAAGTGCATGTGTGCAAGGCAAGCTACCTGCCTTTCCTATCCCACCTGTTTTATAAGACTCAAAAATTAAAGCAATCTATTTGAAAAAAAATGAAGAAAGAAGGAGGAGGAGAAGAAGAAAAACTAACATAATTCAGGCACTTGCCACGTGACAGACCCTGTTCTAAGTGTTCATTGCTTTATTTAATTCTCACCAAAACTCTCTGAGGCTAGAACTACTGCTGAAACTGTCATTGTACAGGTGAACGAAATGAGGCACAGAGAGGTAAAGTAGCTTTCCCAAAGACACACAGCTGGTGGAAGACTGAGCCAGGAGCCCTGGGCTCTTCTGAGCCACTAAGCTCTACTCTCTAGACCCTTAAGGCGTCACCTCCACTACTGTAAGCAACGATGCCTTTTTTCCTAGCCCAAATGGACCATAAGCTAACTTAGGGGAAACCCAGGGGATTCTCCCAGACCCAGGGCCTCCCAGACCCAGGGCCTCCCAGACGAGCTCAAAGAGGAAGGAGGTCTGGACTCAGCCGGTGTTTGCCAGCACAGCCACTGCCCAGCGGCTTCACCCTCCATAGGCCCCAGGTCATTTGCCTCTGAAGATAAAAGATCTTGGCTAAAAATACTTCTGCCTGTGGCTCCAGCCAGGCCCACTGTGGTCACTTAAAAATTGAAAGGATGCAGCCTTCTCATCTTTTTTTTTTGTTCCCCTTTTGTAACAAAGATAAATGATAGATGGGAGGTGGGTGAACCAGGCCGGGGGCAGCGGGGGCGGGGAAGGGATCTCAGGCTGGGCACATCCTGAACTTGTGCGGTCAAGGCCAGGCCTCTCCATGCGTTAGATTGGAAAATACAAATAAGCAATCATCCTTATTATGAAAGAAAACCCAAGTTATGATGCATCACGTTTCAGCTCTAACAAAGCTATTCCTCCGCACCTCCCCCACTCTTTCCAAGTTCGGCTGCGAAGACCCTAGGTTGGGTGCCGGTTCCCTGGACTGCCTGGCCAGGGTTTCCAAGCTGTGAGCAGCCCCGCCCCGGTCGCTGCCGGGCAGGCGAGTGCACCCCAGCTCTGGCCCACCCAGGAGTGATGAACCCCCTATTCCCTGGCAGTAAGGAATGGATGGAGTTGGGGACTCCAGGGCAGCATGCGAGCAAGGTCTTCCCCTCCCTTCCCAGGCCAACAGTCTCTGGGCTCGCGCGTGACACCTGGTGCCTGAAGCAGGCGCCTGGGAGGCTCCGGGTGCATCTCAGCCAAGTGGCCTCCTGGGCGCAGGGAGGTGGGAGCGGCGCCCTGCGAGCCCCGCCCTCACCTCCAACCCTGGACGGTTGGTTGGTTGGAGCTGACAAGGGGTCCACCACCCCCTCCTCCGCCTGTGCCCTGAGGCAGGGCGGAGATCTGCTACCCCCTGGGTCCTCGTCCAGGGGAAGGTGCTGTGCTTCAAGGCACTGGAGGACCCAGGGGCGCAAGCAAGAGTTTCCCACTCCCAAGTGTCCTGGCTGGCCCTCCCCTGGAGTCCAGGCGGCATCTCGGGCGTTGACCCCAGCGCCAGTATACACCGCTGACTGCTGGAGCGCAGCCAGCTTCCTCTTACCCGCCTCCTGCAAGGGGCTCAGGCTTCTAAGCGCCCTCCTGCCACGAGGTGCCTCCTCCTTCAGAGCCCACAAAGGGCAGCGGAGGAGGCATCGACCCGCGTGCGCTTCCAGCCCGCGGGGGAGACTAATCTAAGTGCGCAGGCAGGTTCCCGCTGCCCCTGCACCTACTAGCTCCCAGGAGGACAGATGAGGCAGCCTGGGCGCTTCTCCGGAGGGGCGCTCTGGGGCGAGGAAGGACGTGCTTCTGGAAGCAGCGCGGGAGGGAGGGGGGTCATGGTCTCGGCACCTTGGGGGGTGGGAGACCTGCCCTGAGATCGCTCCACACACTCAAAAAGTTCCCGTCCAGCGCGCCCAGATGAGCGCTGGGAGGAGGCCAGCTCCCGGGGACGCAGCTCTTCCCTCCGTGGGACCCTTCGGGCCAGGTCAGGGGCGCAGAGGCGGTGACTTCGCCTGCACTTACCTAGAACTCCCGGCGCGCCCGGCTGCGATGGCCTTCTTCTCGGCCCCAGACCCCCGAATTCCCTGGCGCTCTCTGCACCCCGGCGACACTCACCATGAGCCGGAGGCGGCGAAGGGGGATGCCGGCTTCTCCAGCACAGCCGGCAACTTCGCGGCAGGTCAGCCCCGCCCTGGCGCCCCTGCCTGGGCGCGGCGGGGGCCTGACAGCCACTGGGCGGGGGTCTGGAGCGCAGGGTTCTCGAGCCCGGGCTCCTGGTCCGCTCCTCTGCTCCTCCTCACTCTGCCGGGGTTGAGGCTCAGAGTTCTCTAGCTCCGGACGCCGGGGCGGGGCGCGCGGCTGTCCCCTCCAGATGCGGGGTGCTCTGCTCCTTCCTTCCCTCTCCGGCCCGGAGGCGCACCCGTGGGTCCGGCCTCGGCCACCGATCCGGGGCTGGCAGAGCGCCCCCGCCCCTCCGCGGTGCCGCCGGGGCTGGGGCGAAGCGGGAGGGATTCCCCTCCGCGAGTTCGGGTTTCCCCACCCTGCGCGGACCCCGGGCTCCGGCCGCCGCTGCGCCGCCGCGAGCAGCACTTCAGGGCAGCGCAGCCCGTGCCACCGGCTCCAGCTGGAGGAGGCGGCGGCGGCGCGGCTCGCTGGGGACTGGAAAGGAGGTGACCTTCAAACCCCGCGCTCGGGGAGACCAGGAAGGGGGCTGGGGCGATGCGGGGAGCGGCGAGCACCAGGACGGCCCGCGAGAGCGCTTGCAGGCGGGCGGGAGAGAACCCAGCGGAGAGCTTCCAACAAAAATAAAGATTAGAAAATAAACAAAGGAGAGCGAGCGAGAGCGCGAGAAAATGTGTGCATGTGTCTGTGTGTGTGTGTGTGCGTGTGTGTCTCTGTGTGAGCGCGCGACAGGCAGCGAGCAGCCCCGGCTGCGGAGCCAAAAATAATCCGGTGCGCAAGGGAGCGCCCCCTCCCCCTTCCCTTCGCCGGCGCCGCCGCCGCGGTCACGCGTGAAGCCCTGGATTCCAGCGGGCGGCGGAGGACGCGCGACCCGCTGCCTCGGGCTCCTCGCTTGCAGCTCGCGGGGGAGAGGGGTGGAAGTTGGCCACCCTGGCGATGAGCCCGGGTCTTTCACGTGCACGAGTCGCCCTCGTCCAGGAATGGGCTCGTTCTCTGAGCACCAGCACCCTCCTGACCCCCATCAGATTGGACGAGTCCCCCCCCTTCCCCGGAGAAGTGCCAAGTCCAGCAGCCTCTCGCCCCAATCCACTCCTGCTCTGGCGAAGTTTTCCAGCAAATCTGCAAATCTCGCAGCCAGGCAGCGATCAAGCCCTATCCAAGACGCAAAAAGTTAGCCAGGCCAGATGTGATGCAGGGTGTGCGTGCTGCGGGCCTGGGCCACTCCCGCGGCGGCGGGCAGCTGGCCTCTCCCATCCTGCCCTCTCTCGCTGGCCACCTAACGCTGCAGTCGGCGCTGATTCTAGATGGGGTCTAAAGATTGTCCTCTTAGCAGGTGACTTAGAGCCAGAAACCTTGTGACTCCTTAATGCCTACCACCACTTCATAAGCACTTACTTTGCACCAGATGGTGTTTTAAGCGCTTTGCATTGAGTCTTCTCAACACCTAGATGAAGCAGGGACCGTAGATGCATCCATTTCCCAGATGCTTAGAGAGGTTAAAGCAACGTTTCTCTTTTCCCGAGTCCTACTCTGGAATCCTTGAATGAGAAACTCTGCTTTTTACCACCTTTTTAATTTTTTTTTTTTTTGGACAAACATCCCAGGGGATCATGTTGCACCACAAAGTCCGAGGTTCAGTGAGTTATGGTGCATTCAAGGTCACGAAGCAGGCCAGGAAACGGGATCTCCAGGTGGCCTACCTGGTTTCAGGTGGTGAACCACCGCACCATCCTGCCTTCTTTGTGCAGAGCTGGCGGCTCTGGACAAGGCCAGTGCCCAGTCTGAATCCAACCTTGAGCACTCGATCTGAGTCCTGTGCTCACATTCCAGTCCTGTGACTGGACTGTCTTTGCACTCACAGCAACGGTCCTCCTCCTAGTAGGACTCTAAGGTTTCCAAACGTAGGGACCATGTTACATGTATTCCTTCATACCACGTGTATTTCCCAGTGCCCAACAGATACCTGAGTCATCAGGACTTCCTTCCTCCTAGATCTTATCAGACTAGGGTTTCTAACAATATTAGAATAAAAGGAAGAAAGGGAGCTTCTACCTACAACTGGAATTTTTAAAAACCATGCAACGTTTCATCATCATCTGAAACAACAATGCTGCCAAATCCAGAATGACATCTCTCTCTCTCGTTGGTCCCAGTGATTTTGTAATTTGGGTTTTTGTTTTTTTTTCTTTCACCATTTGTTTTCTTAGGACCCTCTTTGATAATAATATATTTGTATGTAAACAAGTGTTTTTTCTTCTTTATACTGGTCTCGTCTTTCAGTGATAGCACAATGAAGCCATAAATCTGGGTTAGTAACATCATAATCATTTTCCCCCCAGAAACTGTTTACAATGGGAAAACCACTGAATTTAAATGTAATTGTCTAGCCGTGCAGGGAGACGAGATGGGTTGTAAAAGAGGTATTCTCAATTTAAAAGCAAATTATCAATAATGAGAGAAGAAATAAATGGCAGTTAATGGGAAGTTCTGCTGAAATATAATGTTTTCTGCAAATTTGCCAACAGGAATTGTTTCTCTATACTCCTCCATTTTTATTCCAGGAAAGGGGAAAAAAATGAATCTAATAATCATTCAAGGCAGAAACACTGGCTGTTGTTTCATTAAAATGGGTAATTGCTGGGCCCTTTGATTATTTTTTTAATATATATTTTTACTATTAGAAATGAAAATATCAACTATTCAACTATCTGAAAATCAAGGGCAGTCTGAGTCTGCTCTGATTTATTTATTTTCGAGTAGGAATAGGCTTAGATATATCAGCAGTGAGTGTCAGGCATGACTCACGAGTACCTGCGTTGCTACAAGGCTTAAGAAAGCTTAATCTGAGTGCGGGGGACATCCGTTCCAATTGAAAACAAAATCAGAGCAAAAATCAATATGGCATGCCATTATGCTACTCATTTGGAAAGTACCGGTTTCTTTTTCACAGTGACCTTTCTCATTCCAGGTAGAGTTTTTCTGCCGTTTCTCCCGTTGCGCCACTGCAAGTTGCTGGCAGGTGCTGAAGTAGACAGCTCCTCAGGACAGCCCAGGCCCAGGAAATGGCCCAGCTACAGTGTGAAAGAACATGGAGACTTTGGCTCCTCCTACTGGATGTGAAAAATACTTTGCAATTTGTGACACAAGTAAATGTCAAAAAAACGATGTCTTCCATAAAGCTGGTTTAAAAAAAATAAAAAAGGAATGACTTTGTAGCCTGATGCTTGGCTGAGAGCCATATCTAAAGTGCAAATTTCATCATCTCACTTTCAAACTTAGCATCTTCCCGTGGCTCCGCATAGTTCCCCAAGCTAAGGTATAACTTCTGCATGGGTTACGAGCTCACAGATGATCTGGCTCTTGTTAAATCCATGGCGGGTGCTTTTCTCTTGCTGGTCTCCATGCCTTTGCATGCTGTTCCTCCAACCTGGAACACTCCCACGGACTTCTTTTCCTCGATAGCCTCTTTTGTTTTTAGATCTCTATTTTGACATCACTCCCTCCCTGTGAGCCCTCCCCCGTAACTCCCTATCTCACCCCCCTCCCCAAATAAGGCCCTATTTTGAACTCTTCTCACACCTGTATTTAACTGTGTCGTGTCCTTTGTCTCGGTCTACTGTAAATGTTGTTCTCCATTAAACTGAAAAGACCATGATGTCAAGGGCTTGCCTAGTGCACAGGGCCAGCCGTGTATTATACTAAGCTCACTAAAGGCTTGGTGACCCTTCCTTCTGCTCTGAAGTTGACTGCCGACTAGATGGCCTGACCACTTTGGGATGGGTCCAGAAATCAACCTGCTCATCCACTTACATACTCCTTCATTCTTTCAGTCATCAAACATGCATCTTTCTTGAGGCTAGTCCCTCATTTAAACCATTTATTCATACAATAGACACAGTTTCTGCACTCAGAAAAGCTTATAGTCCGATAGGATAGGTGCATGAGTGACTGCAACAGTTTTGAAAGACTTGGCCAATACTGAATGGGAGCTTACAGCCAGATGGGGGGAAGGGAAGGAGGTCAGGCAAAGCTCTCTAGAGAAGATCGCCTCTCAACAGAGAAGACAAGTAGGGGGATTGCCCAGAGAGTTGTGTGAAGGACATTCCTGGAGAGGAACACAGCTCATAAGAGTGCCTGAAGCAAAACAGGACAGCACCTTCTTGGAACAGCAAATCTGTTCACTATAAATGGAGTCATGTTGAGTTAAGTGGCTGGAAAGTGGTGGGGCAGACCAGACAGTAGAAGCTGAAACTGAAAGTGTGGGCTAGGGAGAGATGATAAAGGACCCCAGTTGGCCAAGACCCACCATCACCTTACGTCCCACTGCCCATGCCCGGGACGTCGCTGTGTTTTGGCTGATGTTTCAATGGCCA